AGGGAGAGAGAGAGAGAGAGAGAGAGAGAGAGAGAGTAATAACCTTTTGAACACCTTGAGAAAAAAATATTTAAATAGAACTTGGGTCTCACCAGAGTTACTCTCCACAACCACTACTTAATTAGAATCATCATCAGTATCATTGCCTTTCTCATCCTGCATCAGGGTATAGGCCCAAACAAGTACTTTTCATTTCTACCTTTCTCTACCCTGGGCTAGTCTCTTGGTGTTATTCCATGTCTTCCCATTTTTATTTTTTATTTTTTTGTTTCCTATTCAGTTTCTGTGATTTTAATTAGAATACATGTAGTTGAATAATTTATTCAATGACTATAGTCTCAACTCAGCATGCAATGTAACTCCCCGATTTCTTTGCTCAGGTACCGAGATTTTCGAGATGAGAATGGTGACCACACGATGTTCTACTGGAAGCTTCTCGCTATCCGACTGGCTTTCGTCATTGTGTTTGAGGTAAGTCACCAGACCCTGTGGTCAATGCACACAACAGAAAGTTATGGCAATTTCTTCTTTGATATTATTTGATTTGATGCGTATGATGTGAAGCCTTTAATTCCTTCTGTCCCCGCAGAATAATGCAGATTTAGATGGCCAAATTATGCAGGACAAATGCAAAATTATGCAAAAATTATGCAAGTTACCCTAACCTCATTCTCAACATGTTTTGCACTTTTTCAACAAGAATTTTCATGTTTTAGATCTATGCACAGAAGAATTGAAAGCAGAACATATCAGTATAAGTAGGTTTTTTGTGCGTATTTGAAAAGATACACATCAGTTATGGAAAAAAACTACCCAAAAATAAAATCTCTGTAACTTTCAGTTGTATAGAGGAAAGAAAAATGTTCTTAATTTTTTTTTTAAATAATAATTTATAAAAAAAAAAAAACATCTGGACATTTGATGCTGGCACATCACTAAAACTAAAACCAGGGACACCCGTCAAACATGAAACATCCGCAGATATGAGAACAACTTTTGATGGATTGAAAAATGTAACATGCTCAAGAAAAAAAATCCCCAACAAGGGAAATAACCAGCCAGCTTTTCACTTAAATTAGATTTTTTTTTACTGTGATTACTTCCCTTTAGTCACATGGCGCGGCGTTACATTGTTTTGTGGAAAAAAAAATATTTAAAAACGTGAAAAAACGCGGGGAATCCAAAATTATGCAAATGTTGCAGAATTATGCGAAAAAACACGGCGCGCACAATCGCATAATCCAATGGGGACTGTTCCTTGGAGGCGTTGTGGACACACACGTCCGATCAATAGTAGACCAGGGGCAATGCTGTGGCACATTTGGAACCCTCATGCACAAATCAGAAACACCGCTTTACATTTTACAAACAGAATGTGTATGAGCAATGAAGCTATGCTTCTTTTTTTAAAGTATCCCCAAAACAGCACGTCTTCAAGCGTTGTTGAATGACCAGAATGTCCCCAGTGAGTTAAGAGCGTCCAGATAATCTTTTATCTGCGGGAGAATGAGGGGGTGTATATAAGGTTCTTTGTCTTAAATTCTGATTCAAAGTTAGAAGGGTGTTACTTAAATTCGTGTGAAAATTGTTTCCTT